TGTCTGATCTTGCAGCAGAAGCATTATCCTTTGTTCTGATCAGGTTGCACAAATAGCTGTGCTTGTGTCAGTCGCAGAGCAGAGATTTTTATTTTTTTTCCTTTTTTTTTTTTTTTTTCCTCATGACCGATATGATTTATGGCTCACACAACACATTGTGTCCTGCTGAAAATGTTGCAGTTTTGTTTTCCACCATGCAGCTCTCCTACAAAAAACTCAGCTCAGTGTTACACATTAAGGAAGAAGGGGAAACTGCACGATGCTGTTGCTGCATGAACCCTAGACAAATGTGACAGAATATTCCCAGCCTCAACACAAACGAGCACAGAGTCACCAGAAACACCTGAATGGGATTGAGTTGAAGGAGCTGGAGAGGCACAAGATTATTGCAACTCCCAAGACATCCCCACCACTTCTCTGAAGGTTGGGCACTCCTCTGTGCTCATCAGAAACAGCAGCCTTTGCATGTCCTGACAGCTTACTGCTTCCCACGCAGACAAATTGGGCTGGCCCCAGCCACCCCCACCACTGTGGTGACATACCTCTGCCCAGAATTCACACCTGGACTGCTTGCAAAGCCATCTGCAACCGAAGAGACAAAGGTTAGACACTGCCAGGTTGTGTGAACACACAGCATGGTTGTGTCTGGTGAGCAGCTCCATTTCCCACACTGACAGAAGAAAAATCGCCAGCCTCTAGTGATACTGAGCTCTTCTTGAGAGGTTACAGAATGTGGCTTTAATTTTCCCTCCCCCCTGTTCTACCATAATGCACACTTGCTTATGAAAACAGTTGTTATCATACATCCTTCCTCTTCCTAGGGCAGAAAAGCAAGTCAACCAGAAAACACAGTCAGTAAGTTCTTCAGAACTTCAGTGCATCAGAAAGCCTCATTCAGTCTGGAGGTTGAACTTTACCTACTACCTCCAAATTTCTTGTATTTTTGCTCAAGTGTAGGTATGTGCATGAGAATGCTGCCTGTGTTATCAGGTAAAAGCCCAAATACCCATTTCTGGCTTCTAGCCAGCACTTAAAAAGGAAAAAAAAATTTGCTAATCCATGGTTGCAATGGAAAAACCACCTACCACAGGGAAAAAATCCTCCTGCCTTTAGCCAAATCTAATCTCATCTTTTCTCACAGCTGTAATATCACTCTTAATGCTTCACTACCTAACTTTAGCTTCACATAGGGAGCACAGGGAATTATAGATACAAACCTTTTGTACAAGGACAGACTGTAAAAAACAAAAAAACATGGGTGGCTCTGTTTAACATTCCTGAGTTTGCCATCAGAATCAATCCAGTTCTGTGAAGATATTGCCATTTTTAGTAATTACGATACCCTCCAAAACCCAACAGCATTATATGATTTCTGTTTCATAGAGGCTTTGACATTCCATCTATTATCCCAGACTTGCTTTAGCACATATTTTATATTAGAATGCGTTCCAGGAGGCATATGGCAATAGAACTAGGTCAACCATTAACCAAATAACAGGAAGCTACTCTGCAAAGCACACTCTTCAAAGCTCACTTAATGAGCTGGCTCTTCAGAGTGTGTCCTTCAGTAAGGTTGAAGCTAACTGTTCCACAGGATTTTCCTTAAAGGTTGCCCAAGGCAGGTGACTTGTGGACACCACAGAGTCTGAAGAGCCATTCCAGAGTGTAAAAGCACCTGGGTCAGATGCTGAGATGGAGAACAATCCAAAGTCATGCATGAGACACTGAACAGCAGGAACCAGCTCCAGTAATTTCCTCATACGTGAGCAGAGCCCATTCCACCATTAACCTGTTCCCAAAACTTCACAGGGAAAGAGCAGAGCCTTTGTAGAGGTTTGTAGGGAAGGATCCCATCACAAGATAAAGACTGAGCATCTCTCTGTCTGGATGAGTCAATTCCATACTCTTGCAAGGTATGGGGAGAAAAAAGAGCTGATATTAAGCCTTGCAAGTAAGTTAGTGTCTGAATAAATTCTTCATGTCCTGCTTCCTCACTGATCTCGTTGAGATACATGGATTTAACATCAAATGCCAAATCCAGGAGAAGAAAAAGTCCATCTTCACTGCTGATATCTTCATTTGTTCCACCTCAGTCTCACCAATTCCTTCCACTAAATATCACATTCCATACTTCTAAGCAACCACAGATGCCCAAGCTTGAAAGAGAAGTTTTTAGGCCTGAGAAGCACCAGGCACCACAGAACAGCATCCATGAGTAACATCGAAGGCAGAAAAACTTCTGATTCATCTTATACTGTCAACAAAGCGGTAGAGATGGCCTGATCGAGTTGTTTCTAAACAAATAAAAGGCAAACACTTGCCAGCACTCTAATTGAAAGGAAGTTTGCCACTGATATCCATCACGTAACTGTTGCAATAACATAACTCAACAGCCATGTACCACAAAGCAGTGTAAACTTTTCAAATTCAAAAAAGTCATCATCCAGCTATGTGGCTACAGCCAAATCTTGACACCAGGTCTGTATGGATACTAATATTCCTTTTCTGATGCTCTCATAAAAAATGGATACAGTCTCTTATCTCTTTATCATAGGCTTTCTTCTGGACAACATCTCTACAAACCAAAACATTCAGAGATCCTGAAGTCATTATTTACCCAAACAAAGCTAACAATAAAAAAAAACCCTCTCTACCCCATTGCCAGGGGTAGGCTTGTATTTCTCCATAACTTTTAATAGTAATGACTGCTGTAAGCATATAAATACATCAAGAGTTTCCCCAGTAGCTCACATCTATCCTTGTGACAAAAATAAAAGGTAAAAAGCCCATGTCTAACAGGCATTAATGCTTCTACTAAAGACTCCCTGACTGAGAACTTCCCTGCAACCAAATGTTTGTGAGGTGGGAACTCAGGTCCATCTTTCTGGAGGTGGATCCTGCTGGTTCACCAGATAATAATTCCAGTTCCTAATTTCAGGCACAGGAAATGATATGGCATCCATGATGACTGAGAAAACAGTGAGTGTGTGTGATCATATGTCCCTGCAGATTGCTTTGTATCTTAAGCGACAGCTCCTTGCTGAAACAGGCTAACTCAGTGGAAGACTGCCAAGCATGCTGTGGTGAGATTATCATCTTAGTAGTTATTTATAATAAACTATCTTCAGCAAGTAGCACCTTTTTCAGTAGGAAAAAAGTCAAGGACAATGCATTTTCTTTGCAGTACGGAGATGGTCTATGAGCAAATGTGCAGACAATACGTGGTGGCATTGCTCATCTACATATGAAGAAGCACTTCTGATGAACATTCCTCCAGCATGTTCTGAAAACTGTTCCAAAACCACCAGAAAAAGCTACAAAATTACCAGCCACTACAAAGTGCAACCTGCTATGGAAACTACATGGGCAGACAGAACAGAGTGCCCATACTTTATTTTCACAAAAGTCTTTTGATTTGCCTGCATCCTTAATACTTCTGATGATGGAACAGCCACACCATGGTGTATCTACGGAACCAAGAAGGAGTTCTGCCCTGAGAGATGGTGTTCAAGTCCCATATAACTCCTCAGTGACATTTCTTTGCAAGTGCCCTATGCAGAAGTGCCAGAGTCCCATAGCTCCAACCAAAAAATCCGAAAAGGAGCAGCGGAGCAGTTTTAAGGATGGAGTTACTGAGGAACAGAACAAACAGTCTTCACACACAAGCCATGTTTTATATGCATCCTCCCCTCCTCCCATCACCAAATTGCAACTGGGAAAACATACCTGTGGGCTGACTACTCCCACACTCCCACTCCAGTTCCTAGGAACACATGAAGAAAGTCAAGCTTTTGCAGGGCTGCCACAGAACGGCATCTAAGACAAGGAGTCATTCAAGGGGATCTGAAATATACTCTCTGAAGATCCTGCTGAACAGGCAATGGAAACCCTGAGAGCTCTGATTATGAAGTTCAGCTCTGCTGTGCCCATCAAGAAGCAAGCTCTGGTATTCCAGAATTTCCCAGACTGCATCTAGAGGAAGGTATCTCCAAATATTATGGGTGGAAAAAAAAACCTGAACAGGTCGACAAGCGTGTGACTGAGCTGAGAGAATACATTATCATCTGATTTTTAAAGTCCATTGAATGCTCAGTAAACTGATTTAGAAATCTTTTCTTCTGCAGATTTAGATAGACTAGTAACGATATTTGGCTATAAAAAAAAAAAAAAAGAAAAAAAAAAGTGTCATGGCTTTAGCCAAATAGGACAAAGGCCTTCTAAAAGTGCATTTCTGGTTTTAAAAAAAATATATTAAAAAAAGGCAGGAACAGCTACAGTAGGTTTCTACAGTTTCTTAGTAATTACAGAGTTTCAAGGTCTACACAGTATCACAGCATTTCATACCTTCTGCATTTCGCAGATGCAGTTCAATGTTCTCAAATGGTTACAGCTTTTGAACAAACTGTGTCTGCACTGAAGCCAAAAGGATCTACAATGGAGCTTCATCTGAAGCTCAGGACTTGCACATGACTGAACTCTTCTCTGTCTCCAGATATGCTCAACCCTTCAGGCTCTCCCCAGCCCCTTGTATAATCCATCAGACATGCTTTTGGAGTTTTCATCGCTTTGTGTTTGGTTTGGGTTTTTTAAAAAAGACACATACACAAAAAAAAAAAAACCAAACAAAACCCAAAAGCAAAAGCAAAACAAAAACAAGAAAAAAAACCAAAAAAACAACCCACAGGTTCAGAAAGAGAAAGAGAGGAAGAAATGAAACCCTACTGGGCTGAAGTTTTCAGATGACAAAGCAGAAAGTAATTGTTTAATACCAAGTATGAAAGCAGCAACAAAAGGACAAGATGCAGAGGGGGGGAAAAAAAAAATCTATCTGGGCTTCCTGCACTGGCATGAAATGGCTGCTTTCCTTCTTACTGCCAGCTCCCATGCTTCATGTTGACATTACACATCCTGTGCTGTAGATCCACCCCCATGCTGATGCTTGCCCAACAGAATTATCTCCTGCGTCACAGCAGTGGTAACAGAACTGCTGGCTCTGCAGATCGGAGAGCACCATTTCAACGCCTAATACACACAGCAACTGGACACACCACCAGATATTGGGGGTTGGTTTATGGCAATCTCAGTGCTGCACTGCTTTGCCTAACCTTCTGTTAACCAGATGGCCTGTTCTCTCCCCTTGGGATCAAACCAGTAAGTTTTATTTTATTAATCTCTACCAAAACGCAGGGACAGTTTGGAGCACTCATATCTGGTTTATCTCCAACAGGGTTGCTAAGATGAAAATGACCTAAATATAACTGGAAATGCTGCTTCACACCAACAGAGAACAAGATCTTTTGGAGTAAATATTGAAATGATCTGCCAGATGAACCACCACAGCAGCATGAACCAAATGGATAGGAACTTGTATTATGTACACACATACAAATGTTCTGCCATTGTAAAAGGACCTAGGTTGCATTTCTCCTGATCCAAAACACTTTTGTCTTCAACAAACCATTACTATATTAGTATCTATTAAAGCCAATCCCTTAACTAAGAGGAAAAAAAATAGGGTGGGAAAATGGCTTTCAAAACTACCACAGTTAGTGATGGGGCTCCAGAATGCGTGAACATCATCCACAGGCAACACAACAACAGGAATGTTCTCACTAGAACATCTGCAAAGTCACATGAAATCATACTTCAGGGACATGCCAGCACTAAGTGAAGTCAAAGTTGAGTATTTATAACATACATGCTGCTGCTGTCAAAATACAAAGAGTGAGAACGAAAGAAGGAGAGCATGAATGAAAGTGGAAGAATTATCTTATGCATATGCTTCTGCTGAATCTTGCAAATCTGCTACAGCCATGCCCTCACATGCAACCACAAATGAGCATCTCATGTATGTAGGTGGAAGCTGTTGAAAGTTAAGGGCATCCTCAATTCAAGATGTAATTTTCGAACGCCTCCCTGAAAAGCTCCACAAGAATTACTCCATGCAGCTAAGGATCTGATCTTCAAATGTTTACTCACACAAGTAGCTGCAGTGAAAATTCAGAATCTGAGCACAGCGACTGTTCACATGAATGAGCTCTTAGAGCATAAGGGCTTTAGCTCCCATCATCTATTATCCACCAAATGCACTACGGTAACTATGAAAATGAGACAGTGGTGAGGTCTGACCTACTAAAAAGCCTTTGTTAACACTCCTAACAGAGGCAGTGAGCAGTTATAAAATAAATAAATAAAGTGCACATGCCTGCAACACTAAACAAAATCCCAGGAATGTAAGAAGGATCCTGTAAAAGTTGCAGTTTTGCTGTCTTCCAAGGAAAATAGGAAGCAAATCCACATAAAATCTAACTATAATAAATCGTTAAGATCTGTTCTTCATGGCTACCACCACAGTGCAGTGCTTCAAAAGCACAGCTGGGTTCACTGCTCAGATTGCTCCACACATGCATTTGTCTCAGGCTGGATCTTTTCAATCTAAAGCTCCAAATCAATGTGGGCTGGGGTGTCAAGCGCTCCAAGAGGACAGCACTGCTACCACCCAACCTCCTACACATGACTAACTTCTGATGTGGAAGGAGATCACAGTCTTCTTCACACCACCTGGGCAGCTAAAATGTTCTTGTGGTCATCCATTACTGAAAGTCTTACTGAGACATGAATAACCCTCCAATCTGGATGTCAACAGATCAGCAGGTATTGCCTTCAGCTCATAAGCAGACTGCTTAATTCACCTGTAAAGAGGATTAGATGTCTTCAGCACATCAAGGAAACAAGCATGAGAACAGGCTGTGTGACATTTCAGCTCCATCTATCTTTAAAATTTCCCCAAAGAGAAGGATTTTTTTTTTTTTATGTCCCATTTAAGTTACTAACTCATCATCATATGACTGGCCTTCACTGCCATGACATACAAAACTTCAGTATATGGTGACAGGCCCCCTAGAAAGTCATTCCACAACCTGAAACATCATCTACCCTTCAAACACACTAAAAATAGATTCCTCACCCCCTTGAGGTCTCAGCAGCCCATCTGATATTACAGTACAGTATTAACAAACCTATGTAGACATGAATTCTTAAAATAAATATCTTCAGAGATAAGACCAGAATACCAGCAAGCAAACTATATTCCTGTACACCACTGGTGAACCTGTGGAAGCACTGAAGAACCATGGAGGGCAACAACCATTCCATGTTCACTTTGCAGGAGCACAACTCGTGCAACCTTTGGTCAACCTGTCTGACACCTTGCCAAGCAACTTCTGTCTGAAAGACATTTTCTGAGCACAGCCTCAGCAGGGTTTTTCATGGTTCCTCAGGAGAACAACACACTGAAAATCTCTGTCTTCCCCCCATCCCTTGTCCCATGGTGGAAGGAGAGCAGCACAGTGGTAGAGGGTGTGGAACGGAAAGCTCACGGTAGTGTTTTATCACCTCTGCAATCTGATCATTTTAAAATAATTCAGGTTTACTCATTTATTCATGCAAAGACCCAAACATACTGACTCACTCTCTCAGCAGCCCCAGTGAGTAATGCAGTTATGTCCTTGGAGCCAGAGATTTCAGGTCTCACACATGGCAAGGGTGTTCTGGCAGGAAAAACCCGCGCGCTCTGGAGCAACACCAGCTTCTTCTCAACCCACCAGGATGGAAACACACCAGGAGCCAGCGCCACTGAAGGGTTAAACACATCCATCCTGCAAGGCAGGACATGGCCTTGGGTCACATTTACCTACTGAAGGGCTGCTGGAGGGCTCCTGCCCAGCCCTGGTGCTGTTTCACACCATATGCTTGATCAGACAGGAGAACTTGGCCTCTGCATGACCTGACAGAGCTGAAAGCCGATATGCTTTCTCCCCACTGCCCGCCCCCAGCAAAGATAAAAGGTCATTTAGACCAAAAGGAACCTGTCCACACTGACTTCAAGTTACATTAATTCAACTTTTTGGGATGCACTTCTGGCCAGGAACCCAAACCCTTTCTCACAGAGCTGCAAGCCACAGCCATATGACAGAGCAGGAACAATTCAGCAGTCAAGGAGCTAATTAACCAGGCTGAGAGCTGTCTGGCTGCTCTCAATTTTCCATCAGCCATTTGCTACATTTTTTACACTTGTCAAGCTATTGAGCTGAGCATGATAGGAGCAAGGCTTCAGAGCCCACCAGTCCTGGAGGCTCCACATCCTGCAGCCCAGCTGTAGACGAAAGGGAGGGGGAAACCTGAAACGCAAAATCAAGAGCTCCCAATCGAAATACAGAGAGAAATAATTCCAAATTTGTTCACATTGACGTTTTATTTGTTTATTTATATAATCTGTCTTCACGGTGCCACTTGTCTCACAGCACAGAAGAAAACAAGAAGATGAATCCGTTTGGCCACTGCCTTCCAAACTTTGCTGCATCACCACCTAAGTAGATACTTTGTATGTATATATATATATATGTGTTTGTCCATACTCACCACAAGCAACAACACACTTGAGAAGAAAGGCTCAGTCAGAATTACAACAATGACAGAGAAACAAGGAGGAAGGTAACCACATCTCATCTCTCAAAGCACCTGCCAAGAAAAGAGCAGCTCTGCTCCAGCCTCACGCACCACAACCACTCACAAAAGGAGGCTTTTCTTTCCTGGTCTTGGTTTGTTTTAGCACACACAGCAGCAGAGTCCAGCACCAGGGTCGTAATTTCCAACATCCATGTTAAATCCTAACTATGCCTGTTTTGCTGGGTAGTGGGATAGATGGTTGAAGGAATAAAAAAAATTAAGAGCAAGATTTCAAGGGCTGGACAGAAATTCTTTGGTCTCCTTTCTTTTTGATCAGAGAGACCTAAATCCTCTTACAAAGACCCACATGCCCACAAATCTAGCTGAGTTTAACCAGGACTGGAGAATCCAAGTCTGAGTTAAAATAAATTAGCATCTATGGGCCTCTTGAGCTCTCTCCAGAAGCAGTTTGCTCAACTAGAGATGCGTACTCATCCTTGACTCACTGCATCCCCCTCAAGACCAGCACTCCTCAAGCTATTCCAAGTTTAGCCCAGACTGCAGTAATTACTTTGTTTAATAAAAACATAAAAATTAAGAATTTTTTTTAAAGTTGGTAAACAATCACCACTGACATAAACCACCTTCACCAATCCCTCTGGAATTTCTGACTTGGGATCTATATCAACTGCCCATTTAATATCAACAAGAGGGAGGCAGTAATTAAATGACAAAAAAAAAAAACCAAAAAAAAACCCAACCCTTTTCAGCATCACTAGACAGCTGAATTCTGACTTTTGGACCAGAGCAAGGTCTTCATTAATGATCCTTTCCCAGCTGCACACTCAATTAAATTCTCCAGCAAGTCAGTCATTAGAAGGTAAATGAACCACCCTCCACATCACCATCATGCTGGACCAAAATCTTCCAGCACAAGTAGTCTCTCCTGAGCTTTGCTGTTTACTTGACAAACAGGGGGAGAAAATTTAAAAAGGTGTGCTTGATGGAGCACAGGTTCCAAGTGTTACATTCCCCCATCCCACTCTTTTCTTTGGAGAGGTCTGGGGGGCATGGTGTGTGGGAGGAATGTATTTGCCTGGCTCCTGTGATAAGTGGCCATTGTGTTTTGAAGCATTTGCATGACAACAGTCCAAAGCCCAGGATGACCCATCTTCTTCCCCAAAAGGAATATCCTGTGATGCCTTCTTTCCACAGCCACTGATACCACCCCAAGCCACTGTTTGAACCTAAGAGCTGCAGCCGGAAAGGAAGGGTTTGCTCATCCCAGCCATGCTAAAGAAGCCCCCATTGTCCTACCAGGCCACGGAAACACTGACCACATGTGCATCAGAAGATTCCATTTTTAGCATCTTTCAAAACAAAGTCTTCTCTTTCACATTATCACGAGCACACTGAATCCTCAGTCCTCCTATAGCATTCTCTGCAATGTCTGCTTTGTTTTGTCTTGAAAAATCGTTCTCCTGCCTCTCTACCCCATGCCACTGCTCTATTAGCAGCAAGTTTCCACTGCACATAATTATGGCATGCCTTAGCCTACTTTTTTTCTGTTTGCTGAATAGCTCTGCCTATTTTCTACTTGTGCTGATGCTACCATTTACTTTTCCTGATGCTCTAATCCTTGTATCCTTTGAAGGCCTGACTTCCTCCACACCATGACAGCAGCTGGGGTTCTCAGGCCCCTTTCCAGACCTTTTTAATAGCAACAGTAATGCCACTCTGATGAACATCCCACTTCCTAATCTTCAGGTCAGCACAGAGCCTGCATCTGTAACAAGTGCACCAAATACACCATCCAGGGCTGCTGAGTACCTATTATCTAAATGACTATCATGTTATTAATTGCATATTCCTGGAACTGGAAGGAGAAGGAAAAACACTGTCACATAATGCAAGCACTTAGCTTCTTCACACATAATCCCAATTAGAAGGTCTTATTTT